AAAGGAAGAGGAAATAAAATCGTGTGATACAATCAGAAATTGTATTTTCAAAAATACAAAGGACCTGGGATCCGTAGGACAATCTTCAAAAGTGGTTCAACACTTCGCAGACACGTCTTCAGAGTAAGACCTCCCGTAGCGGAGAACATGACTAAGGACTGTGTGTACGCCATCCCATGTAGCTGTGGTAAGAAATATAAAGGAGAAACGGACGGACCCCTTAAAGTAAGAACATCGTAAAGTGATAACACAAGAGGAAACAGAAAAATCAGGCGTAGCTGACCACATATAGAGGGGAAAATGTGATCACCGCATCTATGAGGTTGAAAAACGTAAGGAATCAGTACATATGTTAGGCCACAAAAATCTCTTGAGCCGACCAAGCATAAAAATGAATACAATATGCGAACTGGTAATAAGGAGTGCTAAAGAAAAGCAATGAATAACAACAAAAATTGCAATATAAGCTCTGGTAAAAATGCAATAATAACAGAAAATTGCAGTATGAGCACTGGTAAAATATGGTTGCTGAGACATTAAGTTTATAAGTCGCAAAAATTCATACACAGATATCCTCAATGATACATGACCCAGTAGATAAAGGCGTTGGTTAGGTCCAATGACTAAGACCCAAAGAGTTGTGAGTTCAATACCAGGCCACAGCAGTGGTAAACGAAAACTTGGAGCGTTGAGTCAAAGGCAAATAACTGAGACATCTGGAAGAGGCATGGCGTGTGGAACTAGAACAATCTACGCCGGGGGACGAAATAAAGGGTTCTGATCGAAATTCCAATCACCTGAAGAAGGCCGTGAGAAGAAGCTGTTTGAGTGGAATTTACCTCTCGGCAATAGAATACGAATTTGATAATCACCGGAGAGTTTGAAGGCAAGAGAGACATCGGAAAAGAGCGCATGACCTACCTAGCGAGCTTGAGTAAACAGATAAAGGAATAAGTTTTAGGAGAGATAACGAAACGACAAAATTTGTTTAGTTAAAAATGACAGGAAATTGTGGAGAGCCATGATCGCCAACATCCTGAAGACACTGTTTTGTTCCACTTGTGTATGATAATGGTACACAGTAAAAGATTAGCCATACGTGAGTTTATATCGTCTTTCTGCTTCTGTGTGTCGTGTCTCTTCAGGGCGTAGGCAATCGTGGATCTAGTCCTGGGTATGATGATAAACTACATCGTGCAGCAAGATCGAGAGATTGAAGGCTTTGCGGAGTATAGAACCACCTCTTATTTGCCGTTGCTCCCTAGTCTACCCTGACCATGTGTAGTAGCACCTGTTAGGGTCATAGCTATCGGCAAATAGTGAACGCACAAACTAAAATCAACAGTACATTTTTATAATAAAAATGACCAACAATAGATTTTTATATGAAAACGGCAACACTAAAAAAATATATTTTATAGTAAGTTTACCAACAATAGTTTTTATGATCTACAAAATATATATTTAAAAAAATGTAGCTTTATTCTGAAAGGATAAAATTATGTACAAATTTTCTGTTTATCTATATCTCTGAGATGAAGTATTATAATTACTTACATTATTCGGACTGTTCTCCTCATCTTCATTGCCGTTGACGTTGGTTAGGGAAATAACTGAGACATCCGGAAGAGGCATGGCACGTGGAGCTAGAACAATCTAGCCCAGTGGACAAAATAAAGGGTTCGGTTCGAAATTCCCAACATCTGAAGAAGGCTGGAGCGTACAACGGCCGAAACGTTGTGAATATGACAATGAAGATGAGAATAACAGTCCGCTATAATGTAAATAATGTAAGTAATCTTAATACCTCATCTCAGGCATCCAATCATCTGATGAAGGCCGGAGCGTACAACGGCCGAAACGTTGTGAATATGGCAATGAAGATGAGGATAACAGTCTGAATAATGTAAATAATTTAAATAAAATATCCGTTGTTGTAAGCATAAAACTATGTACAAGATGTGTGTAGATTTCAGCATTAAATAATAAAAAGAGATGTTGATGTGCCGCTAAACAAAATCAACCAACCAACGTCTGTACCTAAGCTCATCATTAGAATTGGGCGAGGCGGGGGTCAAAAATCCATCAATAGTTTTCTGGAGCACAGTCTGAAACACCTCCAACTCTCGTTCTAGGGCAGCCATGATGCATACAGGTCATTTTGATACAACATGATACACTCAGGCCATTACTCTTCATCATCCGGACTTCGTCGTTCTTTGCTTTCCAGATGTTTCTCAACATTACAAATGACTTATCTCTTCTGTTCATCTCCTTCTTATACATAAAACAAAACATAATCAACCAAAAACTTGAGTTTATTAAAGAAGAACAGTTTCTTTTTTTTTTTATAGTAATTCAAGCTGACCTAAGTTATTAAATCTGCAATAGAAAGGAGCTAAATTAATTCGCTTTTTGGAATAAAGCAGGTGTAGCCAAGAGGTCTACCCTTGGACCCACGTTCTGCCTAATTTTCAACAATGACCTTCTTTTAAGGCATCACATAACTCGATATCTGATGACGAATCTATTTACTCCTGACATAACAGTAAGTCTAATCTGCTTGATGAGCTCAAATTGGCGGCTGATTTTTTTAAAAAATGACCCACTATCTGTTGTTAACAGGAGCAAGGAATGGCTTGTTAATGTTAACGCCTACAAAAACAAAACCACTGTCTTTTAATCGTTTATGAGAATAAATTCTGCCTACCATCAGCCTACCATGGCAATTCGAAAAAGACATTTGTTTTGAGACAATTCGGCTGGTTAGACTTTTTGGGGTACCGTGTATATGTTTTCTACTGGAGACATAAACCGAACGAGAGACCGATACCAAAGTATCGGATGTATTAATGGTACATGAGAAAGTGGGCGTCTACTAAAATGTGAGGAAAGATAGATTATTTGTTTGAATAAAAGAATAAATAACGGAAGAGTCGACATTTTTTTTTTATTCAACTCGAAAATGTTAAGTATCAGTTGAACAATCAAGAACTGTAAAAGGGAGGTAACTCTTGAAGGCTAAATAGAAAAATAAGTACAAAACGTGCGAAGAGACAAAAAATCCGAAAGTCCCTTTAGGTAAACTGAACGCTGTCAACCGAAACCTTTACATGTTCTTATCTTTCAATCTAAAGACAAACAAAAATGTATCGCTCGTATTGCCGGAAGTGGGAACTTAGACACAATTCGATTGAGAAAAAGATCTGTGAACGGGATTTAAAACAAAAATGAAGCGTGTTTACTTAGTGGCAGAAGTAGTTACGTGTTTTCTAACTGCATCATTTGCCGATTCAAAAAAGATCTTGTATTTCAAATGATGATTTCAGATCAGTCAGGTCTCCCACAGAATTGAAACAAACGTCATTATCGACCAATGATTTACCACAGACCTTTTACAAAAAAAAAGAAGACGTCTTAGAATTTGTTACATGTGTAAAGTTTGTAAGCCAAGTTGGCTATTTATGAATGTCCTTTCCGAGCTTCGATTCGTTAACCTATTAAGGATGACACAATACTTGTAATAAACACGTTTAATTCCAAATTCACGTATAAATACAAATAATCTTTGCAAGTAATGAAATTTATCTCATTTTGGCAAGAATTTAAATCAAAATATTTTTAATCTACTAGTAGATAGATAGATAGATAGATAGATAGATAGATAGATAGATAGATAAGAAGAGATTTAGATAGCTTGATAGATATAGTATATATATTACGAGATTGAGATAGATAAATAGATAATGAACAAGCTGGGATAGATAGATAGATAGATAGATAGATAGATAGATAGATAGATAGATAGATAGATAGATAGATAGGAAAAGATCTAGATAGAGAGATATGAAGAAATTGAGATAAATAGATAATAAACAGACTAGAATAGATATGAATAAAAAAAGATAGATATATATGGACAGAGATAGATAGATAGATAGCTTGATAGATATAGTATATATATTACGAGATTGAGATAGATAAATAGATAATGAACAAGCTGAGATAGATAGATAGATAGATAGATAGATAGATAGATAGATAGATAGATAGATAGATATGAACAGACTGAGATAGACAAATAGGAAGAGATTTAGATAGATAGATAGATAGATAGATAGATAGATAGATAGATAGATAGATAGTCATGACACACGTCGTTTTCCTTGATGGAAGCATTTCAGGAACTCTTTATGTGGAGGGAGAAAGCAATCACACTCTATACACTTTCCTTCCAAGGTCAGTTTATGCCAGGCGGTTTCACTCTGTAGACTGCAATATGGATTCTGACCAGAAAAATTTGGTGTCAGGGCAAAATGAACCCACTTTTTCAGTAAGTGTATGGCTGGTAAATTAACGGTTTGTAAATTTAAAGAAAAGTACTGTTCAGATATAAAAGTATTCTCCCTCTAATATTCTACGTTTTGAATTTTCGACGAAGTAATTATAATGGATATACTACAACATACCAAACAAGAAGACTCACGTTACATCTCTCTGACAATAGCTCAATTAGGTCTCATTTAAAAACACACGAAAACCTACTAGACACCATGCGCAACATAGCTTCATACACACGTAAAACATGCTAGAAATAATGGAAGCATTATTGATAGAAAAAAAAAATAAAAATAAGCACTCAATACCATATTCTATGAACACGGCCACAATGTGCTGACCGTGTTCGGAAAATAAAACATTTCTATAGCTCTAGATACATATATTAAATCCATACATTCAGTTAAAAGTAAAAAAAAAAAATCATCCTTGATAATGGCTAAAAAATAGTCGAAAAGCCTGGACATAGAAAACATTCTACATAATTTATATCCAGAAAAACGACACAAGTAAAATTAAATAAAAACTTAACCTTGTCTGTTGTTTTTAAGGAAACTTGTATGAAAGAGGCATTGCTTCCCAAACGGTGAATGAGATATGGAAAAAAGCAAGAAAGAAAGTATTTTATTTTTACTTTTGTGTTGTTTGATTTTTAGATAATTTGCGACGTTCCGAATTCAGGGAGAGACGACACATCCCTTCGAAGTTTCAAGAAATTAACAGACTCCATGCCCAACAGAAAAATCGTAAACATTCTTTTATGTATGTAAGTGTATAATAATTCTAGTGTAATTCAGAAGATAATGTATATTTGTAAGTGTGTGTATAAGGGGATTATATTTGGAGGCTTTTCGCATGTTGGTTTGGGAATTTTTTTTACGTACACACCGTTTCTTTTAGATAAACTTACGTAAAGTTCTTTAAGAATGGATAAAATAAAGGTTGATGATAATAATATAATGTATTTTATGCGCGTTTAAAGTTCGTAAAATAGTAGTAATAATTATGATCTTTTTTGAATTAGGACTGCATTTGTAAAAATAAATTTAAGAACAGCATATCTCTTTTATGTTCGTTGATAGGGGCTTTTAGATTTCGAATTGTCTCGCCCATATAAGTGCTTTTACATTTTGAGCTATTTATTTGATGAGTTGTTTTTGGTAGAATTAAAAACGTTTAAAATAAATTTAAGGCTAGTACATCTCTTTTATATTCGTTGATACGGGCTTTTAGATTTCGAAATGTCTCGCCGATATAAGTGCTTTTACATTTTGAGCTATTTATTTGATGAGTTGTTGTTGGTAGAAATCTTTGTCTTCTATTAAGGTGCTTATTGATATTTTCTTCTGTACGAAATGAATCCTATGCCAGGTCTGTCTTCGATGTCTGCAGCCACCGTAAGAGTGGTTCAGGAGGAGACTCTGATATATATATATATATATATATATATATATATATATATATATATATATATATTGGTGGGGGCTCTCTTCGTTTCTTCAATTTGCATTCTGACGGATTTATTTTTTCTTTGTAATTATATCTCCGATTGCCCTGGACGTGGTGATAAAGATGCTTGTATTTGTTTGCAAATTTTGTAGAGAGAATATTAGAGGGGAAGATTATGAATTTTGTGTTATACACAGATGACACAATGCTGATAGCAGACCCGGAAAGGAAATTACAAAACCTCCTATAGAAGGTAGCGAAAGAAAGAAAGAAAAGAAAGAAAAGAAAGAAAGAAAGAAAGAAAGAAAGAAAGAAAAAGGGACTAAGCATAAACTACAAGAATACAGAATGAATGGTCATCAGTAAAAATATGAGGCCGAAATGCAAGTTACGGGTCTGGGACATTAAAATCAAGCAGGTGCGGGAATTTAAATAACTGAGAAACGTTCTAGCAGAGGACGGTAAGTGCGACGCTGAGATCCGAAGACGTATAGGGATGGCCAAAGACAAATTCCAAAAGCTAGGCAGAGTATTACAAGACAGGGGGGGAGGTTTCGTCGATAACAAAGAAAATACTGAACTGTTACGTGACATCTGCCCTCTTTTACGGCAGTGAATGTTGGACGATTTCCTCAGAGATGAAGTAGCGACTCGAGACAACGGAGATATGGTTCTACAGAAGGATGCTGAGCATGTCATGGACCAAAGATGTGAGCAACGATGAAGTTTTTGAGAGATAGCAAACAAGGTGGAAGCTTATACTTAATACCAGGAAGAGGCAGCTGAAATATCTGGGACACGTAATGAAAAAGGAGGGCTTGGAGAACCTGATACTCCCAGGGCGGGTAGAGGAAAAGAGAGACAAGGGAAAGCAATGTGTGACATACCTATCAGGCTTAAACAAGTGATTGCAGAACAAGATCTGAGAGAAGTTGCAAAAGGACAAAGCATATTGAGAAATACAAGGGATATGGGCGAAGTGGAGAGCCATGATCGCCTACATCCTGAAGGGACATGCCACATAAAAGAAGAAAAAAGAAGAGAGAGAGAAAAAAAACGAGAAAGCAAATCAGCAAAGTGTGAATAACTGTTGACTTCACATACTAGTCGCTCAAGCTCGGCCATTGCTCGTGTGTCGGGGTCAGATGTCACGAGGCGTCGTATTATTTTGACCCGATGTCAGATAGAACGAAATATGGGAAAGAGTTTTTTTTTTTTTTACTCGTAGCAAATGAAATTTTTATCAAATTAATTTGCTAAGTAAAAAAAAAAAAAAGAGACGAAATCAAAGAAAAAATCGGTGTGTGTCGCGCGAAAGAGAATATTTCCATTTCTCTCAAAATGGAAAAAACGTTCTATTTAGTACAGATCTCATTAAGATAAATTAGAAAAAAAGGCTAAAATAATAATTGGTGATATTTTTTTCTAATTTTCATTTATGAATTATTACTAAGAGTTAGAGCATGAAGCCATAAAGCGGCAGCGTATGAAGTGACATAAAGACATTATAACATACTTACTTATAAGTATATACCATATAAAATGTTTCTAAGTCAGATAATTGTGATTAGGTACGCCTCGCTCTGGTATAATGTTTAGCCGTCTTGTTTCGCTAGAACAATGACACCTGGTTAGTAAGGTGAATCCTGATTGGATGCTCCATACTTTCGGGCGTGTGCTAATAGGTTGGAATCTAGGTCCCACCCTTTTACTGTCGAAACAGTTAAATGTAACCGCCTCTTCTTCTCCAACAGCTTCTTATCTCGCACTTCCCAACAGTGGAACTCCCTTCCTCTTACTTGCTTCCCTGATAACTATAATCTTCAAAATTTTAAATGCAATGCCAATCGACATCTTCTGTTGCCTTAATCCCTGTCCTTCTTTTTATCTTTTCCTCACCCCCCATTATACCCAGTCTTTTCCCTTGACTACACTCTCTGTAGTCCCTTGCGTACTAGTGACACTCGGGCCTTGCTTGTGGGTAAACAACAAAAAAAGAACTAGACATCTAAGTTACGCTTATAAAATCCCCTAGCGCACTTCGTCATGATGTAATGGTTAGCAAGCTAAATCAATTAGGACTCATTATTAAGTTTGATCCGCACCGGGTGGTCTATACTTACGACCTCGTGCCACGTCTAAGTTAAACTTTAAAAATAATTTTTCAATTACGATTGAGTAGTGAGTGGGCACCTCGACGTGGTGTAATAGCTAGAAAAATTGCGACTGGGTAGTGATTTCGTTCCTCACTGGGTGCCTCACTCTTTCGGCCTTATGTCACATCTAAGCGACACTTATAAAATCACCATATATTTCGATGTCATTTAACTATGATTTGGGGCGCCTCGACGTGGTTTAATTATTAGCCATCTTGTCTCGCTAGAACAATGACGACTGAATAGCGAGTTCGATCCTCACTGGGTGCGCCATACCTTTGGTTTGTGCCATACATTTTTTTATTATTGTTATTAGAAAGCGTCACGCCAACAAAGTGATAAAGCGTTCAGTTCAGAATTCATTGTAAGTTACCCAGATCAATATAAACCTGAGGAAGGCCGGAGAGCACAACAGCCGAAAGGAAGATGAATTTTTACGTATTTATTTTAGAATAAACACGCCATATATATATATATATATATATATATATATAGATAGATAGATAGATAGATAGATAGATAATATTAGTGGACAATATACATACATATGCAAAATATATAAATACCCATACATGTATATTTTCAGAAAAAAAATTCCAAGAGGAAGAATCCAGGTAGAACTCAATGTCTAGGACAGAGTAAGGATATAATAAAAAGGCTTAAACACTAATATATATATATATATAGTATGTAAAATATATAGTATATAAATTTATAGCGGTGAATAGTAATGGTTTAAATCAGAGTAACATTTATTTTGAATATATGTATTTTTAACTTGGATAAAGGTATTGTTAATTTTTATAGATGTATCTGGCTCATTGAATAACTCTATAACGAAGGCCGAATCAAATTTGTTTAATCAATTCACTACAATCAAAGTGATAATGCCACTAAGACACAAGGGGATACTGAAGTCTCCTGTAATAATCAATAGCTTCATCTAACGCAAGAAAAGTTGGCTCTTTGTGTCGTGCCAGAAAGTTTTTATCACCTGAGTCCATCATTCAAATCTATAAATCAACCATCCGTCCTTACATGGAATATTGCTGTCATATATGGTCTGGTGCTCCCGCTGTACGTCTCGAGGTCCTGGACAAAATCCAGAGACGAATATGCAAGATGATAGGTCCTGATCTGGCATCTAGTCTACAATCGCTATCCCAGAAACTTTCTGTGACCTACCTCTGTCTCATCTACAAATATTTTTACGGCAACTTTTCCGACGAGCTACTTTCGCTAGTTCCCAGACTGCATGAATTTAAACATCCTACCAGGCTGACATCTTGGTCCCATCCTTTCACTGTCAAAACGGTTAAATATAGCCGTCTCTCCTTCTTAAACAGCTTTTCTCCAGCACTTCCCGTCTGTGGAACTCCCTTCCCTTCACTTGTTTCCCCGATTACCATAATCTTCAAATATTCAAGTGTAATGTCAATCGACATCTGACACCCTGAGTTTCCTTCCCGTTCTTCTCTGTATCCTTTCCTCAAATACGCCTCTTTATTCTTGTTCTCAATCCTCTGTAACCCCTTGCGTGTGAGTGGCACTCCCGCCTTGCTTGGGGTGAATTGCCTTAAAAGAAACAGTTTTCATTAAAAGAGTTTCTTGAAGAATCTGCTTTTTTTGGTGGGGGCTAATAATGATTGATTTAAATCCTTTCAGGAAGATTAAAGGAAAAGGATTAACCACAGCTTAAAGATTAAGCAATTTAGCATCGATTTTAAAATATCAAATGACAAAAGCTTGACTTAGATATGGAAGGCATGTACTTGGTGACTCTACCTTTTTAAAAATAAACATTTTTTTTTTAATATAAAAATAATTAATAAATTACTTTTCTGTTCCTTTGGGGCGCACTTGGTAACCTTTCAGCGTATTTTACCGCGTCCGGATGCACTGGCTGAGAAACATTTTTATAATTACTTGGTTTATTTGAGCTTTGTTAAGGGTCTTGAGAACACATGTTGGATGCACTCTGAGGCTGCACTGTGGAGTAATGAACAGCGGCCCGGATTGAATTATCGGAGAGCCGAGTTCGAATTCCATTCGAGCTTATTTATATTCATTTACGTGCTAATATTCTTGGAAAAGATATGAATTCATCTATTCCTCCAGCTATGGATCAATATCAAAACAGACTGGGCCCTATAGCCTTGGTTGTCAAACCAGTCTAGGTCAACTCCGATTTCTAAACCAGCCTGGAAAGGTTTGAGGCTCCGAAAGTCATTCATGTACATGAGATATGACTAATGCTATGGCTGTAGTAGAATTAGTGCCTCTACGACACTGACTTAGTATATCTTGGACAGTGTTCGGTATTGGGACACCCAGCACTAGTCGAACAAGCGTAACTAATAGAGTGAGTCTAATTTATTCCCCGCTGAACGAAGTACCTCTGGTGCACATTTCGATATCAAAACAGATTGGGGTCTATAGCCTTGGTTGTCAAACCAGTCTAGGAGAAAAACAACTCTGAATTTCAAACCAGCCTGGAAAGGGCTGGGCTCCGTAAGTCTGTCTTGCTCATGAAACATAACTGATGCTAGGTATTTACTCTATCTCCCCACTCAGAGGAGTTGTGACACAAGGTCTTTTTTTAAGGTGGAGCACCCGAGCGCGTAAACTCTGATGATCACAAAAGCGTGAAACTCATATCCATACACCTGAATATATATATATATTTGTATATGAATATATATATATAGAGAGAGAGAGAGACAGAGAGACAGAGAGACAGAGAGACAGAGAGAGAGAGAGATAGAAAGAGAGAGAGAGATACAGACAGGGTGGCAAACTCATATCCATAGATCCTATCGTCCCCCCATATATATATATATATATATATATATATATATATATATATTATATATATATAAATTCTGCAAAATATATACAGTATCTGCCTCCCCGCTCGTGTGTCTGTATATATATATATATATATATATATATATATATATATACACATACGCTCTATATCTGTTATAGAGCACTTTATCACATAAATATAGCACACTTTAAAACTATATTTCTTCATACATATATATATATATATATATATATATATATATATATATATATATATATATATATATATATACGGGGGGGGACGATAGGAGAGAGCTATGAAGGAAAAGAAAAAGAAAAGTTAAGGCATGGTGGAGAATTGACTCCGCACAAGTCAGATATTCAAAACTCGATCACTCTTCTGCGCTTTGAGATAGACAATAAGCAATACAATTGGGGAAATCTAATTTCGACCATCACTTCTTAAAGCGTTCAGTATCTCAGCCAGGAAATTGAGATTTTTCATTCACCGCAATTCCTCACCCTGCTTCAGCATCCTCACATATATATATACACACACACACACACACACACACACATATATATATATATATATATATATATATATATATATATATATATATATATATATATATATATATATATATATATGCGCTCTTATTACAGGTTCTATTTTCACACCAACGGTAAGGAATTTTTGTGTTCTATTTTTTTAATTTTTTTTTTCCGGGCTTTTCTTTATTTCATTTTGACTTTTCTTTTACCGCGATGCACAACTTGTTGTAATGAAGAACATGGATTTCGAAATTGAAATGTCCAAGTGTTGTGGGCAGCTTTCGATCAGAGGGGGACAAGTGGGAAGGGAAAATAAAAAGATAAATATAGGGTGTGCCAACATCTAGAATTAGGTAGGTCACTAGTAAACACGGAACATGAATATTGGAATATAGCAATTTATGTGCGTCTACTGCTAAACACGCCGGCCTACATGCAAGTTAATGGCAAAGAGGTGCACCATATTTTGACCCATTTTCGCTTGTATGTTTGACATTTATGCTTGGGATTTTAGAACCAGACAACCAATTGACTTGTTTTACATAAGAAAAACTTTCACATTGATAAAGTTTCATGATTTTACTAGTGTATAGAAAAATATGAGCAGGCATATATATATCTATATATATATATATATATATATATATATATATATATATATATATACTTATTTTTAAAAATTATAAATAAATATGTTATAAAATCACTACAAAAATAGCCATTTTGTTTCAACACACTCGGTGTCTTATCAAGTGATGATGTTGAAGCACTTGATAAGACACCGAGTGTGTTGAAACAAAATGGCTATTTTTGTAGTGATTTTATAACATATTTATGTCATAATTTTTAAATAAATAATTATATTAGCTCTACTCTGAATTGAGCACTCTTTTAAGAATAGTAATTGTTGGTTATTGGCATTTATTCCGTATACACTACTTATATACTTGTATATATATATATATATATATATATATATATATTGATATATATATATATTGATAAAGTTTTATGATTTTACTAGTGTATAGAAAAAAAATATGATATATATATATATATATATATATATATATATATATATATATATATACTTATTTAATTAAAACTATAACAAATATGTTATAAAAAATCACTACAAAAATAGCCATTTTGTTTCAACATCATCGTTTGATAACACACCAGAGGTGTTGAAAC